GCCAGAAGGTGAAAACAGCCCAATGGTCCTTGTCGTTGCTAGTAAAATAAAAATAAATATAGCTAATATTTATGAGCATTTATTATGGTAAGGTAGAAAGGGAAAAGAAGGGACAATGAGAGGTGGAGACAAGAGATAGGGAACTTGCAGTGAGGAGGCGTATGTAGTGTATGCAGGGAATGGTAAAGAGGTTATTTTGACTTTATCAAAATAATTTGTTAAATGGAGGAATGAGCTGGGGACTTTGTGAAGGTGTAACTGAAGCTGGTAAAATGCCTTGATTGCTAAACATTGGTCTTTAATTAAATAATACTTTCATTATAAGGTATTCCTTGTCTCACAATTTATTAGTTTTAAGTCAAGTAGAAAAATTTACTGCTGTATCGTTATGTCCCTAAATTGTACCAAAAGCAGAATCTTAGTTAAGATACCTTGATAATTCAATTTATAATAGTTACAATTTTTCATACAAACAAATTACACAGTTGTTTACTGAGCAAAGTCTTATCAGCTCTTAAGTTGTTGTATCAATGAGATGCTCATCAGGAAACTGATTGGTGTGCATCTTGTAGTACTGGATAATTTATAAAAATTGTATTTTGGTGAAGGGATGGATGAATAGGCAGAGCACAGAGGATTTTTAGGACAGTGTGGGCTACATGTTGTTAAACATTTGTCCAAACCCATAGAATGTACAACGAAAAGAGCAAACCCTAATGAAAACTATGGACTCTTGAGTGATCATGATTTGTCAGTGAAAGTTCTCAACTGTAGCACAGGCACCACGCTGGAGGGGGATTCTGATAATGGTGGAGGCTGTGCATGTGTGGGGGCAGAGGACATATGAGAAAATCTTTTCCTTCCTCCTGCTTATGCTATGAACTGAAGACTGTTCTAAAAAGTAGTCTTTAAAAAAATATTTATTTAGCCATTTTGGTCACACATTTGGGAAAAGCACCATGGAATGTGAACTGGCTTTTGAATAGGACGGAAGCTAATTATAGCCTTCTTCTTGGGTCTTATTTCCCTACAGACATCTTATTTAAGAGATACAGAATAAAGAAAGCAAAAGGAATGATTTATGACATTTTACAACCTAGATCTCACTGAACTCTATTCTGTTTTACTGTAGGTTTCCTTAGCATTGTTGTTTTAAAACAAGATCTTAATAATCATTCAGATGTTTCTTTTGTGTATTTGGTTTCTAATTTCATTATTTCAGAAAATGAATATGCCTGATTTAGCAAGGGGGTTTTCTTTCTTTTTATAAATAGTCTTAATATGCAAGCATCAAAGAGAAAAGACAACATGACAAACTAAGTTACTAAGGAGTGAATACTTCTAAAATGATTTGCCTTTAGTCGGAAACCCTATTGCTAAAATAAATCATTTAGAAACTGTTTTAATACTTAAATTCTGTATCCTGATGGAAATAGAAACTATGTATCTTGCATTGTGCCCAGCAAATCAGCATTTTCAAAACCTTAGGTTACTTCTAAATGCATTTTTTTTAAATGAAGGACATACTGATATTTACAGTATTTCATTTATATTATGAGTGATCTATAATGTAGAATTTTTTCAGAAGGTAGTCTTCTCTGGGGTTATAAATTTCCTGCAGTTATTTCTCACAAAATCCCTCTGAATTTTATGGCTGTTTGGCATAAGAAGTCCCTAAGATATTTGGCACTCAGCCTGGAGTTTGAGCATGAATATTATCTTTTTCTTGATTCTTATTGCCTCTTGATTTTAATAAGTCGCTGGCTGTTCCTACAGGGCCAAATAATCACTTGCATTTTTCTGTCCAAGAATGTTATTAGATTGGGTTTATTTACATAAGTCTGTGAGAAATAATATTCAGTTTTTGTTTTAAAGACCTGTTATAAACAACAACAATAAAAGTCTTCCTTTCATGATAGTTCAGCCATCTCATTGGTTCATATTCTAAGGGTACCTCAGGCTAACTGTGACTCAGTGCTCTAAGGAAAGTACTGATTGCCAGCCTGGTACCATGAAACTCTTCTCTGGGTTTTCGTTAATGATCAATGCAACACAAATGATGGGGAGTTGGATAAAAGTCACAGAATTTTTGAGATGAAGATTTTATCTAGCCTAGTGCCTTTCTTTTTTCTGATGTGGAAACTGAGAGCAAGGGTAGTTGAGTAATTTGCTCAGACTCATACTCTTCATCGCTTCTGACTTCAAGAACGTTATTCCTTTATCTTAGTGCCTCCTTTCAGAACCTCACTTTCAGAACTGTTACATGCTTTTTGGTTGAGGTTGTCACTTTCTACAGCAGCCAGATAGGCAGTCATTGGTTAGAGCTTAGTTTCTTTGTCAGAGCGACTCCAATCAGCAGAACCTTAATTCTTGCCTTTGTATCTTTGTGCTTTAGTGCTCAGGGGATGGGGGCACTAAATGGAACATTGCAGTGCAAGAGCCTGTTTCACTGCAGTTTTCTAATGAAGGATAATTTCAAAACTTGATAGGTAGGATTTTACTTTAAGTAATTTAGGTATTTTTTAAATAGAGTTTATCGGTTTGTTTTTATTTTTTGTTTGTTTTGAGACAGGTCTTGATCTGTTGCCCAGACTGGAGTGCAGTGGTACAGTCTGGCTTCACTGCAACCTCTTGGGCTCAAGCCATCCTCTCACCTCAGCCTCCTGAGCAGCTGGGGCTAGAGGCACACGTTACCATATCTGGCTAATTTTTAAAAACTATTTGTAGAGATGGGGTCTCACTGTGTTGCCGAGTCTGGTCTCAAACTCCTGGGTTCGAGCAGTACTCCCTACTTGGCCATCCAGAGTGCTGGGATTACAGGCATGAACCACCAAGCCTGGCATAGCGTTATTTTTAATTGATAATAGATACACTTGTAATTATTATGAACCAGTCTCTTAGTTTTATGTGTATGTGTATATACACACACACACACACACAAACACATACACTGTCTCATTTAATTTTAACATAATGAAAAACTATTCTTAAATGAGATGTGAAACTGATACTGTACCTAGAACTTTTTTTTCAAGCCAAGGTAATAGCTGAACTTAACAGCACTTTTTCTGAGCATCTCATCAGAATATTATTTTATAATATCAGGTATTATTTAATAACATTGCTTCTCCCTTCACCCCTTCATTAGTCCCCTGCTACCTCCATTGTGAGGGGCCATCCTTTAGCCAGAACTAATTCCTACAACTCCTTTATCTGGAAAATGTATCTTGCCATTACTTGAGGTAAGTAAAATGAGTGTATCATCACCAGCCCTGGCAGGCCTAAAAGCAAACTTAGGTATTGTATTCATGGCAGTTGAAGGGAAGTTTTTTTATTTTAATTTTTAAAAGTAGCCATTTGATTCTTTGATGTGAAAATCAACCTGTCAATGAATTCAGCACAGTCCGATGTGTTATTAGGTAGACTGTAATTTAAAGCTGTTACTAGATGTTACACAGACAGGAACTACATGGTAAATGAGTTTCATTTTATTTGTAGAAATCTGAGCACCAAATGATCCAACACTGGTTGGAATGTTTTATTAACCCTATTTGCATTTTGATTGCTGCTGTATGAAACTTAAGGTCTCATTATTATTTCTGATAATATATTTTTAGGCCAACCTATCTAAAAAGAACCTTCATATGAAAAGGTGTTTTCACTAATTGTATCCATCTAATACACAATATGTTATGTTTTGTAACTTAATATAAGGGAACAATTTTTAAAGTTTTCTTTATGCCCTAACTGGACCCCTCTATTAGATAATTCTAATCCATTGGGTAATTTTAGCATTACTCACTTAGAAAATGTTTTGTTTTGATATTACCAAAGGGTTTTGGGAGAAAGCATGTGGCCAAGAATGTCTACATTTACTATTACAGAGATATACCCTAGGTATTGGAGACAAAAGAAACAAAAGATGTTATTTGTGACTTGCTTACTTATTTTCCATAAGTAAAATTGGGCATCACTAATGCTGGAAGACCTACAGAAATAGTGTGCTTGACAGAAGGATCTCTTGTTCTTTTGTCTGCTGCTGATTAGCAGTTGAAATACAGTCATCGTTGGAAAATTGACCAGTGCTGCCATTACAGAACCACACATCCTTTGCTCTTGGTGCCCTTCTTACGTCCTAGTTTTGGTTTTGTTTTGTTTTTTTTTCTTTTCTCCCTCTTTTTTTTTTTCTTTTTTCCCTCTTTTTTTTTTCTTTTTTCCCTCTTTTTTTCTGCCCTCTTACCTACCTCATTCACTTATGTTTGTAAAATGGTCCTAAAGATTTGAAATTTTAGGAAAAGTTTTCATCATTATGGTATACGATATTCAGAAATATGCATTGTATGGCAAATAGCAATCTGGATTTGGTAGGATTGGTGGTAGGCAGGTCTGCCATTACCTTCTTGTTTTACTTCATTCTCCTCCCACCCGCCTTTCTCCTTATCTTCAGGATCATCATGATGGTCATTATGATCATCATGATGGTCATTATCATCATGTGAATCTTTGGGAAACTTCTTAGGTACTGAAGTGAAATTCACCTTTAAAAAATGTATTCCGTATACTTTTCTTCCTTTTTTGTGTGTGTGTGATTATTTTTTCTTATTTGAAATTGCTTCACAACTATAGTCCTATCTGAAATAGTCTGTGTTAAATAGGTTCCTTATAGCTTGTGTTCTTTTTTGCATGTGTTAATTAATACTTGGTTTTCTGTGAATTTCCTTTGCATTTCTTGTTTTCATCTATATGAATTCTATATGAATTGCTATATGCATTTCTATTTCTTTCCCCAAAATCAAGACATTTGTTGAGGGGTCAGTAAAGTAAAATGCTATAGAGTTTGTGTGTATTTGGTTATTTGTTACCTTTAATGTGAGGAAGTTTGTATTTTATTTAGTTGGAAGACATGATGGATAAGCTGTGGATAAGTACCTAAATACATAAATGTGTATACATATTGGATAGTTTACTGTTGCTGAAGGCTTGTTTCTTAATCCCTCCAGGAAAGAAAGGAGAGGCTATCCAAATTTGAATCTATTCGTCATTCAATTGCTGGAATAATTAGGTCTCCAAAATCCGCACTGAGCTCTTCAGCAGTAAGTAGGATTAACTCTCTGTGCTACTAATGGTCATTGTCTAACTTCTTTCTGATGCATTAATGAATGTGTGTGTGTGTGTGTGTGTATAAATTTGCACTTACAAATGGAAAGATAAGTGCATAATTTAACTTTTTGTGTGCATATGAATGTCTATATATGTGTATAGTAAAATCCCATGTAACACTGACATAGGGAATACAGAAATAAACTTGAATTATAGGCTTCCTTTACAATATACAAATAATTATGAGGAACATTTTATGTACTTTGAGGTCTTACTGGAGGAATAGTATAAACAATTCTTTCCTAGTGAAACATAACCCTTTTACAGTAGGGATTACTATATATATTTTAAAAATGTATTAGTGTATATGTATATTTATATTTTAAAGAGCATTTTGATTATAAAATTGAAGTCTGTTTGATAATCATTGAAATGTGGGTTTGACATATCACAGTAGTGCTTGAGTATTAGTTATCTTTAGTAACAGCGGTTTGGCCATCTCATACACATGAATAAACACACAGAAGCATTTCTCTAAAGCATTAGGTCTTCTATTTATTTGGAGAAGGAGGTTTTTTTCCCCCTCAAATACCCAGGCACTCCAGTGTATACACCCCTAACAAGTACTAGTCTAATTCTGGTCCTGATGGATTTACCTACACTGGATATTTCACATACATAAATAAAATCATACAATATGTGGCCTTTTGCATGTAGTTTCTTTCATTTATAATTCTTCTAGGGTTTATCCATGTTATACAATGTGACAGTACTTCATTCCTTTTTATGACTGAATAATACTCCATTGTATATATTTACCACATATTGTCTATCCAACAGCTGATGGACATTTGGTTGTTTCAGCTTGTTGGCTATTATAAATAATGCTGCATGAACATTCATTGTCAAGTGTTTTTATTTTTGTATGTTTTCACTTCTCTTGGGTGTGTACCCAGGAGTAGAATTTCTGGGTTATATGGTAATAATTCTCTATTTAAGCTTTTGAGGAATTGCCACACTGTTTTTCATAGTAATTGTACCATTTTACATTCCCATCAGCAATATATGAATATTTTTATTTCTCCACATTATTGCCAACACTTGTTATTTTTAATGTTTTCATATTATAGACATTCTAGTGGGCATGAAGTAGTATCTTACTGTAGTTTTAATTTCCATTTTCCTAATGACTAATGATGTGGAGCATTTTTTCATGTTCTTATTGGCAGCTTACATGTGTTCTTTGGACATGTGTTTAGTAATATTCTTTGCACATTTAAAAATTGCTTATTTATTGTTGAATTCTAAGAGTTTATATTCTGAAAATAAGCTCCTTATACATATAATCTACAAATATTTTTTTCTTACCGTTTGGATTTTTTTTTCACTTTTCTTGATGATGTCCTTTAACACACTTAAGTTTTTGATTTTGCTGAAGAGCAATTTATTTTTTCCTTGACTCTGTGTGCTTTTGATGTCAAAAAAAACATTGTCTAATCCAAGATTATACTGATAATTCAACCTTGTTTTCTTCTTAGAGTTTTATAGTTTTAGTCCTACCACTTACATCTTTGATTATTATTAGTTAATTTTTGTATATGGAGTGAGGTACAGGATCAAAATTTTATTTATTTATTTTAATTAATTAATTTATTTTTGAGATGAGGTTTCACTGTATTACCCAGGCTGATGTTGAATTCCTGAGCTCAAGTGATCCTCCCTCCTCGGCCTCCCTAAGAGTTCAAATTCAGTCTTTTGCATATGGAAGCATATTTAACTTAAAATCATTAAAATGCAACAACTATGAATCACTGTTTATGCAAGTAAACATACAAAAATTAGAATGTTAAAGCATAATTTTAGATAAAATAAAGCAAATGCATTATATATAGGAAAATGAAATTAGAATTAATCACAATGGACTTGACATAACGATTTTTCTGTTTTTAACAGTATTAAAATGTAGAGCTCCCTTTAAAGACAGTCTAATGTAATGCTTAGATCAACAGTCTTAATAGAAGAAAGAACTTAAGACTTTAGCTGATAGCAGAATTTTTTTCATCTGAATATTCTATTTGATGTCATCAGATGTTTAATATTGTTATGATAATAGAATATTGTAACATAATATATAATATATATCAGAATATATACTTATATAATATGTAATAGAATATATAATATATATTTTATATAATATCAGAATAATACTTTAATGTGTTATATCAGCTACAAGCATGTGTTTCCTTTCCAGTGTACTGAAGGTGTTAAAAGCCCTTTTATTAGTGTCTCAGATTACTGAGGCTACAGTCACATCTAGCATCTACCCATCTTAAGGAGGTTGTAATTTTGCATTGAGAACTATTTTTCAGTTCTGAAGCCTCTGAAGCCAAGGCCAGAGATGTTAGACAGTACTAATTACATATTTTAAAAGCCTACTGGCAATCATGAGGGTCCATTCCAATTGAAAGTCTTTCAAACCATATTATATTTAATGAGATCTGTTCCAGTCATGTCAAGAATATTGCCCTTTCTCTAGGGCCATCCATCTACTGCAGAATTTCTATAATGAGTGGCTGAGCAAATCGCTTGTTCCATCTTACAGACACTCATGAATACTAGTTGTATCACTGATATATGGAGTGAATAATGCCCCTCTGATGGTAGCACTCTTTGAAAAATATTCTTTGAAACAAAAATAAAGCACATTTTGGTCAAAATGATTTGTTCTTTATATAGATATCAGAAGAATTATTAAATTTTTCAACAGCAGTCTCCTTAAAATTCATATTTTCTACACTCTGTTGACATAGATGCTATTTTAATTTTAGAATTACTTTGTACTAGAATTTAGAAAATCAAAATATTGGAAAGTAGAAATGTGCTTCCTTTGTATAGAGTAATATTGTAAGTAAGATTTGCTTGCTTGCTTGCTTTTTAGAAACATCATTCAGTTATGTTAAGTTGTACATCAGTTGTAATACAGGGTCACAGTGCTTGGCTTCCGCCAGTGGCACAGGGGAATTTAGCTCTTTTCATGCGTGACATCAACTGCTTCTATTTTTCGGTGTTCTCCTTTCAGTCTAGAAAATCGGCCTTATATTTTCTTTAATCAAGACATGTTGTTAAGTTCAGGTTAAATAGTGTACATTTTAAATATCAGTTGTCTTCGATTATTCTTAAAGTCTTAAGTTGCTTTTCCCCCCATTTATTATTATGTAAAAGAGTCATTAACAAGGGAAAATAAAGATTTTTTGCATTATATCACTCTCATACAGTGAATTCTATCATGTTTAGGAAAATTAAATATTCTATTAATTTCAAGTTTTGAATTACTTGAATTACAAGTATTACATGTAATTTTTCTAAAAGGACTTATTGAGATTGATATTCTGTAATTGGTACTGTAATGGAGCAAATCTATTGTTTATATGTTCGCTCAGATGCTTAAAACAGGTAACAGAGATCATGTCAGATTGATACTAAGTTTACACAGGCAATCCCAACTTGATGATAAATGTTTACATTTACTGAAATATGGTTGCCTATTGACATATCGCAATGATCTGGTAGTAGTTTTTGTTGCAATGTGTGATAAGATATTAGCATTGAATATAGTTAATTGATGAAAATGTGTTCTTATTGATATTGTGGCACATTTTATATGTAAAATATATGGGTTTAAGGAAAGAATATTTGATACTGAATAAATGAAACTATAGCAAAAATGTGGTAAAATGATGAGAGAGGATGAGTGAGAGTCACTGGCACAATCGTAAAAGTAACTGTGTAAAAATAGTAAAGAGAGAAAAGCATGTTATTACCAATAAACAATGAGTAAGGGAACAGAAGAAGCCAGCAAAAAAGAAGTCGGAGGAAACCCAAAGGTACTGAAACAAGCAGAACTGTTAGAAAGAAAGGAAGGTAAAATAAAATTTATATTTTGCTAAACATAGTGTCCCTTATCAGAGACCCAAGAAGAGGTACAAAAAGACAGGCCAGGAAAGACAAACTCAAGTATCAGGTTACTTCCACACAGAAACTGTGTGGAAGTAACCTGATACTTGAGTTTGGCTTAGTTGTCTATTTTTGTTTAATACAAGTTTTAGAAAGAATTCTGTACTAATGCTCATCTCTGATTAGCATGTAATTCTGTATAGTTACTATGCTAGAGAACAGTTTTATTGTTTGAACCAAACAAATTTATTTATTGAACCAAACAAATTCAAATTCTCAAATACTGTAGTACAAAAAATTGTTAAGAAATTTATGAATAAAAATTTTACAGCTAGTTTCATTATAGAATGTAAATATTAGCTGAAGTATCTTTTTTTGGTTGATAATATCCATGAAAAAACTGCCAATTCAGCTTTACTGCTAAACAATTAGAATTTGTAGAATTAAAGATAGTCATTTAGTGCCAAAGATAGAACCACTATTTTAACTAATTTACATCCTGTTTGTCTAGCCTGAACACAAATGATCCTGAGGTACAAATATTCAGAATATCTTATTTTTCATTATTTAAAAATTAATTCAATAGATTCAAATGTAACTATTTAGAAATTTTTAAAAAACCAGAAGGGGGAACATTGTTTTTTGTTTTCATTTTATATTAAACATTTAGTATATCTGTACAAATAAAAAATTAGATCCAACTATCCAACTAGAAATGACATAAAATACACTTTCCCACCTATGATTACATTTCCCTTTCACTGAAGATAATTTTTACTACCACCAGGCTCATTCAGTATACTAGTGTTTCCCATCTTTTGTAAACAGTTGATTTCTCATCCCCTCCTAAAATTCCTAAGTAATATATAGCTTTAAAAGAAAAGGGGTCCTATGAAATTAAAAAAAAAAATAAATTTATAGGGCCAGGCGTGGTGGCTCACACCTGTAATCCCAGGACTTTGGGAGGCCGAGGTGGGCGGATCATGAGGTCAGGAGTTTGAAACCAGCCTGGCCGACATGGTAAAACCCCGTCTCCACTAAAAGTACAAAAAATTAACCAGGCGGGGTGATGCACACCTGTAATCCCAGCTACTCGGGAGGCTGAGGCAGGAGAATCACTTGAACCCAGGAGGCAGAGGTTGCAGTGAGCGGAGATCACGCCATTGAACTCCCGCCTAGGTGACAGAGCAAGACTCCATCTCAAATAAATAAATAAATAAATAAAATTTATAGAGATAGGGTCTCACTATGTTGCCCAGGCTGGTCTTGAAATCCTGACTTAAGCGGTCCTCCCACCTTGGTCTCCCAAAGTGCTATTACAGGCTTGAGCCACTGTGCCCGGCCAAATCTTAATCTAGTGCCTTAGATCATTTGGCCATGCTACCGGCTGAGTCTTACAGAATTTTTGAGAAATATTTAAAATCTTGTAAATTACTCATAGTCACCCCAGTATATTACTAAACTGGATTTGGAATAACTTACTAATTAGACTATCAAATTAATGTTAATAACTAAATTTACATGAGAATAGAAAAGATAATTAAATGTCATTTTTATGTTAAAAATTCAGAATTTAAAGAAGTTTGTGTTGAAGTTTTATTTAGATTGTTCAAGCTCAGTAAGGGTTTTGCTTGCATATTTTTGATGCTGTTTTATTCTTGTGTTGCTTTTTTCAAAATGGTTTATTGGGTAATTAATTTTAATAGAATCTAGACCAGACTATTTTCAAAAAACACTTTTGTTTTTGCCTCCCAAAAAGAAGCTCATCTTGATACTCAAATGCTTGAGTGAAGGTATACAAATCTTCATTACATACTTGAGAATTAGCCTGGACTAGGGTAAGGAGAAAAACTAATCTCTTTTTCTTTCCCCAAGAAAAAAAAATTTTCAAGTGCTGCTTCCTTATTGCCTTTTCATATAAAATAATCTCTTTAATTTCACTAATTCTGGTATATTTTTGCTGGACTATTCTTTAGGAACAAGATCTAGGGAAAATAACTAATTAAACAGCTAGCCCAATCAATCAGGAAAACTTATTAAATATAACTTATTAACTGTACTGTATTAACTGTAACTTAAAAAGGAGGCTTTGCTCCTACCCCCATATCTTTGGCAAAAATCTCAGATAATTTACTAACGAAGAAAAACCCTGTCTGTTGAGGCTGAGAAAGATGGGATATTTGAGGTAAAAAGCTTGGTTTCATTTGTGATGTCATTATGCTGGGCTCTTGGTATGTTGCTTTTTTTTTTTTTTTTTTTTTTTTGCTGGTGCATCCTACATATATTACTGTCAAGTTTGTAAAATTGTGTTGGGATTTCATTCAAATCATATTGATAAGAATATTCCTTCCAGTGCTTCCAGAGAAGTCTTTGAAAGACCTGATATACCCAGGCAGGGGATATGTGTGACTTTTCCCTGTGTATGTGTGTACACATGTGTATATACACACATACACTCACAGTAAGTTCAGCTTATATTTCATAACAGTGTTGTATAGGGGATGGGGAATAACAGATCTTTGAGCTTCCCTCCCTACCCCCAAAGAAACTAAGAAACCTATAGAATTGAAGTATGATCTTTATGAGATAGCAATATAAGTTCCTTACTATTTAGTTTTTTAAAAACAAAACAAAACTCAGATACTTTCCCCAGATGACTTTTTCCCCCATACATGTTCTTCATCATATACTTAAATGAATTTCTGGGAATGCTGGCTGAGCTTTTGTACTTCATATACCTTTCCACCTTAGTTCATCAAACTGTGTTCTCTCAATTGGAAATAAATGCAAATTTGGAAGGATAGGTTGGCTAGGACAAGAAATCAACATGTAGCATCCTTGTTTGGGATGCTTTCCTGTTATGTAGACCTTTTAGAGAGACAATGATAAAAATAAGTCCTTTGCAAAGATGTTACATTGAATTTCTTGTATTCAGTAATAACTTTTGAATAAATAAGCACTTTTGCTATTAGTGAGACAGAAATATGTCCATTATAGTAAAAATTTTAGTATTTACTCTAATTAGATGCACTATGATAAAATTTTAAAATAAAATTTTTGATTATACAAATAGAAAACGTTTGATTATTTTTTACTTCTTTAATAATTACAAATTATTAGTATCGGTATATACAAAAAGTTAATTTTGTGTAGATTATGTTTGTTTTTAAAAGTAATATTCTTTTACCTCATATAGTCATGGGTGGTCCTTTAGATAAAATTGTTCTTTAAAACAATTTTTGGGAATATGTTAAAACATTTTTTGAAATAAAATATTTTTCTTATATGTTAAATATGATATAATATTGTTTATCATAGTTTGTGTGAAAATTAAAAAGACTTAGTTTACCAAAACTTCCATGTATAGTCACAACCTGAATATATTTTAAAAGTTTAAAATGTTATTTAATATGAGTGGAAGAAGTAAGAATCAGAATGTAGGCTCTTCTTTGAGATCTATTTTGGACTTTTCAAGTTTTTTATTGTTGTTTTGTTTTGTTCTTTTAACCAACAGAATGGGTTTTGGATAATATGAAATAGAACTTTGAGCAGTAAGTTTTGGGTCTCTTCAGTGGTACAAAACAATGAAGTCTTTGTTAAAAACCAGTTTTTACTTACTACAGAATTACCATACTTTGGTCCTACCTAGAATTTATATCAGCCTGTAAAACTTCATATATGAATATGAATATTTGCCTTTCATTTATTATTAATTCTGATGTTTCCAATTTATAAATTACCTTCTCATGAGGCATTGTGCATACTGTATTTTGAGAACCTTAAAAGTTAGTTCAAATTACTACACCTTATCCACAAAGTACTCTTTCTATCTGGAGGAGTTTAGTTCCTGTGTGCCATAAAAACAACAATAACATCAGCAACATTTTTACTTGTAATCAGAAAATGTGTGATTTAATCTACTATCAGTTAGCACATTTCAAGGAAATAACAGTCATCTCTTAAATTATTTCTGACTTGGTGTTAGCATTTGGCCTCTTAAAATAACAGAGAATTTGCTTTCTCTACCATGCTCATGGTTTATAAACATTCCTTATCTTTGCCGTGTGTTTGTAATTGCATATTGGTGGTTTTCAGTGATGCTATTTCTCCTAGGGCTTTATCTACCATTGCTTTGTAGAAGCAGGACCAGCCATGTGGCAGAGGTAATGGTTAAGTCAGGTGAGTGAAGATAAGGACAGGAAGGCACAGCAGCAAGGCAGCATCAAATAAAACCTGAGATAGTGCTCCTGGAACATATGAGACTGCTCAGAACCTCTGTGATCAAGAGTTAATTACATAAAAAAGAAATACCTTAGCTTTTCATTTACATAAAAATTAAGTTGTTTTGTGATACATTTCTGTTAATTCCCTCTTTTTCTTCGTAATTTCTCTGGTTGATAATTTTAGTATATAGATTTATTTTAGGACATGGTGAATAAGATTATCAATGCTAACTCTAAATGCTAATATTGTGTCTACCTTTGTATGACAGATAAAACAAAGTGTTGAAGTGTATGTATTTGTGGTAAACTTCAGCACCAGTACTTCAAAAGATATTTTAGGTTCATCATATAACTTTTAATTGGTCAATTAAAGGGAGGAACATTTGTAAGAAGCCTTTATAGTTGCTATGAATTTTATTAGAAAATAATCAGTATTTTCTCTAATTTAGTTTTTTTTTTTTTTTTAATATTTGTTTAAGCTTTCTGATATGATCTCCATCAGTGAGAAGCCTTTGGCAGAACAGGACTGGTACCATGGTGCAATTCCCAGAATAGAAGCTCAAGAACTGTTAAAAAAACAAGGAGACTTTTTGGTGCGAGAGAGTCATGGGAAACCTGGTGAATATGTCCTTTCTGTATATTCTGATGGACAGAGGAGACATTTTATCATACAATATGTTGATGTACGTTCCCAGTTTAGTTCATATGTATATTTTGATGTAGTTCTTTGTGGTACAATTGTATTAAAATAATGAATGGTTTGTGACAAATGCCTGCAACACTTGAAATTTAGCACTTAATTTTTTTCTGAATTTCTTAAATACAGTGCTTCAAAATTTGCTAACATTTAAGTATGTTTAAGGAAAGATGTATTTAGTAATATTTTAAATTAAAAATAGTGTTTACAAAATCAAAGTCTATAGCTATTTAAAATATGTTGTTAAATTTGAACATTAAAGATATTTCGAATTAAAACTAAAAACAATGTGATTATTATAAGTTTTTTTTCTAGAGAAACTTAAGTTTATGAAACTTATACTTTTGAAATTGGAGCTTGGAATTGTTTTCAGAATGGTGCCGTGAAAGATTTTTAAGAAATACTTTATTGAATAGTGATAGTGAAATTTCTTAATGAATGGGATGATGGTTGAATTGGTTTTTTGATACATTAAAGATTAAGCTTTTTCTTTTTATAGATAAGCCGTTGTTTATTGGCATTAATAATGAATGGAAATTAATGAAGAATTAAAAATAATTTATTTACATTGATTATTCTAATGCTAATTTATTTTTTGAAATTTATTTAAGCATTGCTAGACTACTTTCTATGTTTGTTACATTTCTTTATTGAGCCTTAAACAGATGAAGAGTAATTTCAAAATTTAACTTTACCCACTAAGGAATTTTAATGTTTTTGGCATATGAAGGAATTGATGCCTCTATTTGTTTTCCATTCCCATCATTTCAGATGGCCTGCATTTTCAAGATTGCTATCCACAGGATTTCAGTTTATGTCTAGAGACTAGGGTGATACTAATTGCCTTACAAAAATTGAACCATGATCATTAGATGAACCTGAGGGCTTGGGTAGCTTAGTAACAGGTGTATGTACACACACGTACACACGTATACCTCTTAATAAGTTTATATATATATGAAACATACCTTTTTGAGCTGACATTCACATACAATACAATTAATCATTTTAAAGTATAGGATTCAGTAGCATTTAGTACATTTACATCTAGTAGTTATAGCTAAATGAAGTAGATACCATTCTAGTAGGTAAAAAGGAATATATCCATTAAAGTATTTCCACTATCATAATGTTCACACTATTTGTTAATTTTTCATAGTATTCAGACCTCAATTTGATAATCATATTTTCCCACATTCATACATCTAACTTACTGTTTTGGAAACTCTGTTGTTTCTAATGATGTGTAATTTTTTATTTTCTTGGCAAACTCTTTTGTAATTTATATATGCCTTTAAGTTATGAATTTAGATAACCTACCCTATTACAGTTTGTGACCATGTTGGCAATATTTATTACATGGTGTGAGAATTGTAGAAGGAAAGATTGTAGGTAAAGTATAAACTCGTTAACCACAACTTATATGAATGTTTCATTTTATTTTCTAAGCTCCGAAAGTAACTATTTTTGAAATATGTATTATGTAATACTGAAATATTTATCTTATCACTTCTAGTTTAAATTGTAACTATAAGTATTTAAATTAGCATTCTTAGAAACAAAATGGAAAGGGTCAGTGTGCAAATTATTGCTTGTTTTTAATATTGCCATTTTGTTTTAAGTGGCTAAAATGAACAATATAATATACGCTAAAAATAAGAGGTTACAAGTTCACATTTCATAGTTTTATCCGGTTTCCTTCTATCACTGAGGTTTTTCAAATATATCTGTTAAAAATGAGAACATTTATTTTTCACTAAATGCCTCAGATTTTCTGCTGCCTAATTTTATTCTAGTGAGTTTTTGCTGTATAATGTTGAGCTCCTCAAGCAATTGCAAACAGTATAAGATGATATAGAGTTTTAATTCTTTTTCATTTTGTGCAGGTGATTCTTCCATGAGCTAAAATTACCCTGTTCATTTCCTCCTATACCTGTTAACTAGAAGGGGTCAATAAATGGGGAAATTCATTAACAGATATTTAATGAGTGCCTACTGTATTCTAATGAAGGAGTTTATATTATAGAAGCTGTAAATAAATGAGTCAACAAGTGTTCCAAGAGGAGGAGGTTATGAAGTAATACAAGATTTTAGAGGAGTTAAAAATATTAAATAGTAGATCAATAAAAAGAGCACTATATTTGGAGTTAGAACACTTGGCTTTCAGTCCTAGCTCTGTCTTTACTTGTTCTGTGGTTTAGGAAATAAAGGGGGTTAATATCTTAAAGAGTTTTTGCGAGAATCAAGTAAGTGAATACATACTTTGCAGGATGTGAAATTAAATAAACCAATAAGGCAGCATAGAAATGAATACTGGAAAGCTTATGCACTCATGCATTTTGCATTCAAGACATTGAATACAACATTTAATACAAAGAATAGACATTTCTCCAGAAAGTTGTGTAAATGGCCAATAGGTATTATGAAAAAATGCTCAGTATCACTGATCATCAGAGAAGTACAAATCAAAACCACAATAAAACATCATTTTATCCCAGTAGAATGGCTATTATTAAAAACACAAAAAATAATAAATGCAGGCAAGGATGTGGAGAAAAGGGAACTCTCATACACTGTTGATGGGAATGTAAATTAGTAAATTCATTATGGAAATCAATATGGAGATTTCTCAAAAAAGTATAATAGAACTGCCATATGATCCAGTGATCCCACTACTGGGTATTTATTCAAAGGAAAATAAATCAGTATACCAAAGGGATACCTGTACTCCCATGCTTATTGCAGTACTATTCACAGTAGCAAAAATAAGGAATCAATGTAAGTGTCCATTAACATTTATTATTTGTCTGGTGATTTGATAATTGAATGTGTGCCAGTACATGTACCATATACTGGTAAAGTGGTTTGCATGTTAATAGTTATTCAACTCTTTTACTCGGTGAGGAGGTACAAATATTATCTCTGTTTCACTAAGGAATAAGCTGAGACACTGAGAGATCTTGCTTGGTGTTTTGCACACCTAGAACATACATTATTATAAATAGATTAGTACCTTCAGTGTGAAATATTCTCAAGCATCAGTGCTAATATATCATAGAAGGTATGCCTACTATGTACAAAAGTTCTTTAGGCAATGAATTAACAACTGCTTTGAACTGACTCAAACACTAACTGCCTTGAGTTGATTTATACTCCATAGTTAAGTGCTAAAGTAAACTAATGCAAGTTTGTTCATTACTCGATGAAACAGAAATATTCATTTAAGAAGTTTTATATAAATTAAATTTTGATACATTAAATCTTTTTTATTTTCTAGTATGGAAAAAGAGCTTTGAGTTTTTAAACTTTCAACTGGGAAAGTAATCTTCCAGTAATGCGAGTAATATAGAATTTAGTCGGTTTTGAAAGTTCTTATTTCTTCACAGGATTTTCTTAAAATGGGGGTACTCCAAAATCTGTATTGGTATATATCTCCTGGATGTGAGAACTATCAGTTGGAAGCGTTTATTACATTGCATTGCAATGCTTCTTGCATTGAAAAATATGGCCAATAGGGTATTTTTAATTTGCCAGGTTTATTGCTATCAATTTATCCATATGACAACCTACTCATAGGCCAATTTGAAATATGAAAACAAGAGAAAAAGGGTCTTGGAGGAGTTTGGGGAAAATTGCACCTTACCTAGTGATATGCAATTTTAAAATGCTAAGATTTGGGCATGTTGATATCTGCAGTTTTGTCACTGGTGCATTTTATTTCTTTATCAAAGATGCATGAATGAGTGTTTTTGGTAATGAATAATAAATGAATACTCCACTATAAAAAGCAAACTAATACTGTATCAACAGATAGAAAATAAATGGTCAGATGTATTAAAATATTTACCATCAGACTGGATATCCTTCCTTATATTTTTGACATTATTTTTGATATTGAAAGTTTTATCAAATGGGACACATATGTAGACATATGTAAACGTGTATCTTGTCCGTTAACTCGGGTGTATCCCATGCTTTATTTCCTTTGGTTAGCATTTTAGCAAAATGCATTTCAGGTCTGTTTGTTAGATTTTTTATTTTTCAACAATTTGAATTAGATTTAAACATTGTGAAGATTAATTTATCTCTCACAAGGTAGAATTTTAAAACATGTCAGAGCTTTATTTATTTATATTTTTATCATCTTAATAACTTTTAAGGGTGTAGTTTAGTAGTGTTAAGTATATTCACATGGTTGTGCAATTATAGTTTTTTTAAGAATGGAATCTAATTTGTCAATGAATGTAGATTTTCTAAAGCAATGTCTTCACATTTATTCTACCTTATTGTTCTCTCTCCAGAACATGTATCGATTCGAGGGCACTGGATTTTCAAACATTCCTCAACTTATAGATCATCACTATACAACGAAACAGGTCATCACTAAGAAATCGGGTGTAGTTCTGCTGAATCCTATTCCTAAGGTAGTTGCTTATATACTTTTTTGTCTGTTTGTTTTAAAAGAATTTTTGGTGCGTTAACATTTCCAACAGTAAATAAAGTTCTTAGATTATATGCTAGTTGTTCAGAAAAAAAGAAAGTTTTGTTTTTGTTTTTCTAGCTTTTATTAGTAATACAATTGAAACATGAAATTTCCTTGATTTTATTACGATGAGCTGCTTTTTATTCAGTATTTGCTAGTACACAAATGGCTTGGATTTTTTTTCCCCTTTCTTTCCTAGTTTTTCTTCAGACTTGAGGCTTTTCTTCACTTTAAAAGGTTCATACTTTGAAAGGTTCAGGTTATAAAAGATTCAAAGTTGTATAAGTCAAAGACAATGTCCAGCAATTAGGAATAAATTAGGGTTTTAATTTGGGATGTTACATTTACAATGTATTATAAGATATTAGAACTATTAAAAACTAGTCTACTCTTCATGGAAGCAGTAAATCAGAACTTACCTATGTGGAGCCAGGTGGTTGGATAAGAGATTGTCTTAGGTCATTTTTACCTCTATCATCTATCGCAGAAAACACTACTTACATGTGCTTTTCAAGATTTGTTCAATAAAGAATGGGTATGTGGAAGTTTTGTGTTTTTAAGGTAATATATTTGGGACTCAAACCAAAGTGGAACAATGGAGCTGACTTAGTTTCTGAGCACTTTTGATGTTTCAGGAGTGGAGTTCGTATTGGCAAGAGCGCTTTCCTTTCAGGACTGTCTAGTATGAAGAACAGCGTAGAAATAGGAAAGCCACACAATTTGGTAGATTAATATTTGTTGATATGACTGTTATACATTTAGGGATTGCTTTTAATTTGAAGTAAGTGTCAGTTCCAAGAGTGCTGGTACATAGTCCGGATTTAGCAATTTGGAAATTTAAAAAACAATTATTTTATTTCCTTTTGTTAATCTGGGAAATAATATCTATATTTGTACACATATTGTACTACTGAGTCTTCACTGAGAGGATGACCTTTAATATTTCTCTCACGGAAGATTTTGACAGTTGTTTGTTAAACATTCTAATTCTCTGGTTAAGGAGCTGGCTTTCTTGAACAATTTTCTATAATTATGAAATTGCATAATTCTTTGTTAATTTTTTAAATTCATTTTCTACCCTTAATTACCAAAACCATAAAAAATTCTTCTTCAGTCTGAAATAGATTGTCACATTTTTTCTATAGCATATATATAATATGTATATATAAATCTTTCAATATTTCCTCCTTCATCTTTATTTTTTTCTTTTTTTTTTAATTATACTTTATGTTCTAGGGTACATGTGCACAGCGTGCAGATTTGTTACATATGTATACATGTGTCATGTTGGTGTGCTGCACCCATTAACTCGTCATTTACATTAGGTATATCTCCTAATGCTATCCCTCCCTCCTCCCACCCCACAACAGGCCCTGTTGTGTGATGTTCCCCTTCCTGTGTCCAAGTGTTCGCATTGTTCAGTTCCCATCTATGAATGAGAACATGTGGTGTTTGGTTTTCTCTTCTTGCGATAGTTTGCTGAGAACAATGGTTTCCAGCTGCATCCATGTCCCTACAAAGGACACAAACTCATCCTTTTTTATGGCTGCATAATATTCCATGGTGTTATGTGCCACATTTTCTTAATCCAGTCTATCATTGATGGACATTTGGGTTGATTCCAAGTCTTTGCTATTGTGAATAATGCCGCGATAAACATACATGTGCATGTATCTTTATAGCAGCATGATTTAAATCCTTTGGGTATGTACCCAGTATTGGGATGGCTGGGTCAAATGGTATTTCTAGTTCTAGATCCTTGA